TGTTTATGGGGCTGGCCCCCTACTCACTGAGCCACAGGCACTGTCCAGAATGTACCTCTTTTATTAATGAATAGGAAAACTAAAAAATCAATAGGAAACAGAGGACTTGAACCGGGCAGATCTAGCAGACGATAGAGTCCGCCTGACAACAGAAGGATGCACATTCTTCCAAAATGCACATGAGACATTCTCCAGGATTGGCCATTTGTTACACAAAATAAATGTCTCAATAAATTCCTAAAAATTGAAATCATATAAAGTATTTCTTTAATCACAGTGTGATGAAGCTAGATATAAATAACAGAAGAAAAAATGGAAAATTCAGGGATATGTTGAGATAATATACAATAAATGAATTGAAAAGAAATTAGAAGATATTTTGAGATGAATGAAAATAAAAATACAATATACCAAAACTTGAAGGATACAGTGAAAATAGTGGTTAGAGGGAAATTTATAGCTATTATACCCTATATCTATAAAAAAATAAATCTTAAACTAACTTTACACCTTAAGGAATTAAAAAAAAAAAAGAAAACTAAGCCCAAAGCTGTCACAAGGAAATATTAAAGATTACATTAGGTATAAAAGAAATACAGATTAGAAAAATAAAAGATGGAATTCATTATACCAAAGTTGGGAGGCTCACACCTATAATCCTAGGTGGGAGGCTGAGGCGGGTGGATTCCTGAGCTCACAGGTTGGAGACCAGCCTGAGCCAGATCATTGTGGCAAGCACCTATACTCTCAGCTACTCGGGAGGCTGAGACTAGGGGATGGCTTAAGCCCAAGAGTCTAAGGTTGCTGTGAGTTGTAATGCTATGTCACTCTACTCAGGGTGACAAAGTGAGACTGTCTCAACAAAACAAAACAAAACAAACAAAAAAAGTTGGTTCTTTAAAAAAATCAATAATACTGACACTCTTAGGCTATCCCAAGAAAAAGAAGAAGACTCAAATTACTAAAATTATCAGAAATGAAAAGGGGAACACAACTATGGACTTTACTGAAATAAGGTGAAAAACTTAAATAGCCTAGATGAAATGAGCAAATTCCTATAAACACAGAAATTGCCAAAACACACTTTTAAAAAATAGATCTTAACATACCTACAAGAGAGACTGAATCAGCAACCAAACCAAAACTTCTAACGAAAAATCCCAGGTCCAGATGATTTCATTGATGAATTCCACCAAATATTTCAAAACAAAACAAAGCAAAATACTAATGCTTTTCAACTCTTTCAAAACAGTGGAGGAAAGATTACTTCCTGATACATTCTATGAGGCCAGTATTACCCACATAACAAAGCCATACAAAGACAATTACAGACCACCACCCTTTATCAATAAAGGTAGAAAAATCTTCAAAAAATACTAGCAAACAAAATGCAGGAACATATTAAAAGAGTTATACACCATGACTACTAAGTAGGACATCAGGAATGTAAGCGTGGTTCAACATATGAAAATCAATTCTTAAAATACATTACATTAATAGAATTAAGGAAAATATGATGTTGATCTAACATCAATTGATGCAGAAAAAGCATTTGATAAAGTGTAACACCTATTCACAGTAAAAACACTCAACAAAACAGGACAAGAAGGAAAATTCCTCATTATAGAAAACCCCACACAGCTAACCTCATACTCCACTGTGAAAGACTAAAAGCTTTCCTTCCAAAATCAGGAACCAGCACAGGATTCCTGCTTTTACCTCTAATTTTTATCATTGACTTTTTTCAAAGAGACTTTCGTTTTTTGAGACAGAGTCTCACTCTGTTCCCCCAGGCTAGAGTGCTTTGGTATCAGCCTAGCTCACAGAAGCCTCAAACTAGGATCAAATGAGCCTTCTGCCCAGCCTCCTGAGTGAGTAGCTCCAACTATAGGTCCCTGCCACAATGCTGGGCTAATGTTCCTATTTTTAATGGAGACGGGTCTCACTCTTGCTCAGGATGGTCTTAAATTGCTAAACTCAAGCTGTCCTCTGTCCTGGGCCTCTGAGGGGTCTAGGATTACAGGCGTGAGCCACCGCACCCACCCTACTTTTACAACTTCTATTCAACATCATTCTGGAAGTTCTAGCCTGAATAATTAGACAAGAAATGATGAAATGATCTTATATAGAAAATCCTAAAGAATATATTAAAAAACATGTTAGAACTAATAGATCAATTCAGCAAATTTGAAGGATAAAATATCGGTTGTGTTGTACACATTAGCAATGAACAATTTGAAATGGAAATTAAGAACATAATTCTGGCCAAGTGTGGTGGCTCATGCCTGTAATCCTAGCACCCTGTGAGGCCAAGTAGGGTAGATCGCCTGAGCTAAGGAGTTTGAGGCCCACCTCAACTCAAGAGTTTGAGACCAGCCTGAGCAAAGCAAGACCCATCTCTATTAAAAATAGAAAAAGTAGTTAGGCATTGTGGGGGGTGCCTGTAGTCCCAGCTACTTGGGAGGCTGAGGCAAAAGGATTACCTGAGCACAGGAGTTTGAGGTTGCTCTGAGTTATGATGCCACAGCACTCTACCTAGGATGACAGAGATTCTGACTCAAAAAAAAATTCCATTTATAATAGCATTTAAATTAATAAAATACCTAGCAATAAATTTAACCAATGAGGCGAACGAGTTACACACTGATAACTACAAAAGAAGAAAATAAAACAGATTGAATAGTCAAGTCATTTTAATGAATAGGGGGATTTAATATTGTCAAAATGGCAATGGTTAATCTTCATGACTTTGGATTTGACAATTATTCTGAGATTTGACACCAAAAACACAAGTAACAATGGAAAATATATGAACTTTGATAGCATCAAAAGTTTATGCATCAAAAGTCACTATCAAGACAGTGAAAGGACAACTCACAAAATGGGGAACAATGTTTGCAAATCATATATCTGATAAGGTAGAATATATAAAGAACTTTGTGCTACTCAACAAAAAGACACCCAGTTAAAACTTGGGCAAAAGGACTTGAATAGACTTTTCTCCAAAGAAGAAATACAAATGGCCAAAAAAAAAAAAAATGAAAATATGCTTGACACCATTAGTCACTAGAGAAGTGCAAACGAAAACCACAGTGAGATACCACTTCACAACCCCTAGGGTGGTTAGAATTTTAAAAATGGACAAACCCAATTATTGATGTAGAGAAATTTTAACCCTACTACACTGTGGGTGGGAATGCAAAATGGTGCAGCTGCTGTTATAAAGAGATTGGTAGTTCCTCAAATTTGAATATAGAATTACTGTATGACTCAGCAATTCCACTTTTAGGTACCCACACAAAAAACCCCTAAAAACAGGTGTTCATACAAAACACCTGTATAGCAATGTCCATACACAGCAGCACTATTTGTAAGAGTGAAAATGTGGAATAGTGAAAGCTAGGTGGAAACGACCCTTATGCCCAGTACAGGCTATTATGTGAAGTGTTCACAACATTCAAGGCCACAGTGATAGAAAGCACATTAGTCCTTGTCAAATTTCCGGGGAGAAGAGAATGAGTAGTGACTGCTTAATGGGTACAGGTTGTCTTTTGGAGGTGATGAAAGTTTTTAGAAAACTTTTGGGAACTATGTAGTGGTGATGGTTGTACACATGGTTACTGTTTGAAATGCCACTGCATTTTAACATAGTCAAAATGGTAAATCTCAGGCCAGGCATGGTGGCTAACACCTGTAATCCTAGAATTTTGGGAGGCAGAAGTGGGTGGATCACCTGACCTCAGGAGTTGGAGACCAGCCTGAGCAAAAAACAGGACCCCATCTCTAAAAAGTGCCCATGTTGTGGCAGGCTCCTGTAGTCTCAGCTTTCGGAAGGCTTAGGCAAGAGGATCACTTGAACCCAAGAGTTTGACGTTGCTGTCAGCTACCATGAGGCAAAGGCACTCTACCCAGGACAAGAGTAAAACTTTGTCTCAAAAATAAATAAATAAAATGGTAAATTTGGGGTTATGTGTATTTCATTCACCACAGTACAAAAAACAATCAACGGACTCTTTGGGAAAAAACCTCCAAACGACAGGATTATTAGAATAAATTGGATAAATCCATAACTTTAAGTCGCATACGAGTATAGGGCAGTAGTCAGGGACAGTTTGCTTTCGCCTGTCCCTGACCATCCTCCACTGTTTTGTGACTGTGTAAAGGGAATTTTTTACATGCTTATTAACTGATGTGTCAATTAGACAGCAAACAGGGTTATAAATATTGCAGTAATACAATTTCTAGCTAATGGGCCTTTACAGAACTCTGTATTTGTCTTATAGAATACAAACTCTTTTTCAGGACACATACTTATAAAAATTGACAAATCTCAACAAATGACCTTAGAACCAGCAAATTCAATACGGCCGGCGCGGTGGCTCACGCCTGTAATCCCAGCACGGGGAAGCCGAGGCAGGTGGATTGCTGCGCTCACAGGTTCGTAACCAGCCTGAGCCACAGCTAGACCCCCCTCTCTAAGAATAGCAGGGCCTTGTGGCGGGCGCCTGTAGTCCGGCTACTCCGGAGGCTGAGGCACTTGAACCCAAAAATTTGAGGTTGCTGTGAGTTGAAGCGGCACGGCACTCGATCGGGGGCAAGAAAATGAGACTTTGTCTTTAAAAAAGTAAGAAAAGAAACGCTGAAAACAATTAAATCCGTATACTAATGGGCTGTGTAGGGCATGGAGGGTCGGTTTTTCACTGTTGCCCTCTAGCGCGGAGAAAGAGCGCGGGTTCCACAGGGTAGAAAATCCGCCCAAGTTCCATTCTCCGAATCAGCCGGTGTTTGCAGCTACGTGGGCCTCAGGAGGTTCTAAGCTCCGGGTTGTCTCTAGGGATCCGGGGGCAGGAAGCCCCGCCGGCTGACTACCCACTAGCTCGCCCGCCGGCGCAGGGCCCGTAGCCCGCCAGGCGGGAGCCTCTGCTCGCGGCTTCCCGGCGATCTGCAATCGATTGGTAGTGCCTGCGAGTCGCGCGCGGAGTTCGATTGGCGCCACCTGCGAGGGGAGGAGCCTCCGCCGCTGCCACCGCCGCGGCCTTGGTCTGTGAGGAAGGGCCTAGGCCCGGGTGGCGGGACTTGCAGAGAGCCGGGGCTCGCTTTCTGCCGTCCCCTCTGCCGTAGCTTCTACCATCTCCTTTTCTCAGCGGGCTAGGCGCAAGGAAGACCTGCCGGAGCCATGGAGGACGAGGTGGTCCGCATTGCCAAGAAGATGGACAAGATGGTGCAGAAGAAGAACGCGGTGAGCGCGGCGGGTGGCGCGGGCGGGCGGAGGCCGGGCGGCGGGCGGCGGGCCGGGTCCGGCCGGAGGGGTGTCCTCCGACCCTTGCTCTGCCCGCCCCCTGCAGCCCTGCCACTAGGCGAGCCGGGCGGGTCGCGCGCCCGCGTCCTCGGGTCGGGGTCCAGGCGGGGCAGGCCGGTCCCGCGGCCACCGGCGCTGGGACTCGGTCTTGGTATTTCAGATCGGTCCTTGTGGCAGCGTGAGAAATCGAGTAAAGGATTAGAGCACACTCTCCTTTGGTTTTAAACTTTAGTAGTAGCAAGACCTCGCTAATTTCCCTTCAGAATTGGAGAGCGTCGAAAGCTTTAGCTAGTTGAAAGAATGCATTCTTTTTTGTGATCCGTGGCTAACAACTATAGCACCAAGTAGAGGTTCGGGGTCGGTTTTAGATACCAGGCTGATAAAGCTTCGAGATCTTACTTTTGAAGAAGGCTAAATAAACATCCACTTGGTTATGTCAACTACGCTTCGGATTTGCCTAGCAGTTAAAAAGATTAAATAGGTTAGTCTCTTGGCAAGTTACAGAACATGTTTTAAAAAGTGGATCTTGTGAGGTCGTCGTGTACAAAAGAGCTAAAGCACACGAACTAACTAACAGCATTCTGGTAGATGGATTTGGACTAATGTCATTTCCTCAGTGCTAAGTGGTTTACAGTTAAACTCGGGGACATTTTCTTGTGTATTTATGTGAACATGTGCTCTTGTGGTTGGAGGTCATCATGCGATCTATTTCTACAGTTTGCCCACCCGTATGGCCACTTTCAGTGCCTTCAGACTCACCTGTTTTTACCTAAACTTTATGATTATTTTCGTCTGAATTTGTTCCACCGTGTTTCGCACATTTTTATCACCAGTGTACCTAAAATAATTTACTACCCACCTCTGAAATAAATTCCACATCAAACTAATGTGAAAGGGGTGCTCTGGTTTGTGCCACAAAGAATCTGTCCAATATTCTTTGACTCACAACATAGCTGTGGTACATAAAGTATACCCTTTTTACAGATTTAAGAAACTGAGTCAGAGAGACTAAGTATTCCTGCTTTTAAAAAATACTGTACAGCTTGCATTAAGCCAGAACTAGATTTTCTACCCAACAGCATGCTTTCCACATAACAGCCAGATTGCAAATTAAATGCTTAAGACTTAAAACATCCTCTGTTTCTTTTCTTTTCTTTTTTTTTTGCAGTTTTTGGCCGGAGCCCACTTCCAGCCTATGGGGCCAGCGCCCTACACCTTTGAGCCACAGGCGCTGTCCTGTTTCTTTTCTTTTAACAAGTGCATTGCTCGGCATCTTAATTTTATATCTTGCTTGTTAATATGTATTTGTAATTTTTGCCTTTTAGAATATTTACAGGGCCAGGCACAGTGCCTCGCACTTGTAATGCTAGCACCCTGGGAAGCAGAGGTGGATGAATTGCTTAAGCTCAGGAGTTCAGTAGCATGACCCCATCTCTAAAAATACAAGGTATGGTGGCTACTGTAGTAGTCCCAGCTACTCGGAGGCTGAGGCAAGAGAATCACTTGAGTCCAGGAGTTTGAGGTTGCTTTGAGGCGTGATACCACGACACTCTACCAAGGGCGACAAGTAAGACTCTGTCTCAAAATAAATAAATAAAAACCAAAAATAAAAACAGAAAAAATAGCTGGGGGTGGTGTTGGATGCCTATAGTCGAAGTAACAGGGGAGGCTGAGGCAGAAGGATGAGGCACTCACTTAAACCCAAGAGACTGAGATTGCTGTGAGCTGTGATGATGCTATGGCATTCTACCCAGGGTAACAGAGTGGGACTCTGTCTTAAAAAATAAAATATTGGCCGGGCGCTGTGGCTAACGCCTGTAGTCCTACCACTTTGGAGGCCAAGGCTGGTGGATTGCCTGAGTTCACAGGTTGGAGACCAGCCTGAGCAAGAGCGAGACCCCCATCTCTAAAAACAGCCCAGCGTTGTGGTGGGTGCCTATAGTCCCATCTCCTTGAGAGGCTGAAGCAAGAGAATCACTTGAGCCCAAGACTTAGAGATTGCTGTTGAGCTATGGTGCCACACACTCTACCGAAAGCAACAAAGTGAGACTGTCTCAAAAAAAAAAAATTTCCTGTGCCGTTTATTTTTCCAATTGATAACAGGCTTTTCATTCTCTACAGCAGGTGATGAGTTCTGGTTATAAAGATAGGTTGAATATTTCTGTTATTTTTTTCAAACTGGAAAATTTTCCTCTCTGCCTGGAGATCCCCAGACTTTCATAGTAGAAGCTGCTAGGAAAAAAACTCAACTTGTTTGGTAATTTTTTCTCTAACTTAGGTTATAATGTTTATCTTTTAAGCATATAAAGCTGTAGGTGTTTCTTTCCTTCTTTCCTTGTAATAGGTTTTTTTTTTAGAGACAGAGTCTCACTTTGTCGTCCTTGGTAGAGTGCCGTGGCATCACAACTCATAGCAACCTCCAGCTCTTGGGCTTAAGTGATTCTCTTGCCTCAGAGTCCCAAGTAGCTGGGACTACAGGTGCCCACCACAATACCCAGCTATTTTTCTCACTGTTGTTTGGCAGGCCGGGGCCGGATTCGAACCCACTAGCTCTGGTGTATGTGGCTGGTGCCTTAGCTGCTTGAGCTACAGGTGCCACTATTTTTTTTTTTTTTTAACTTTTTTTTTTCTGGAGACGGAGTCTCACTCTGTTGAGGCTAGAGTGCCTTGACATCTACCTAGCTCACAGTTATCCTCTGGCTTTAGCCTTCAGAGTAACTGGACTACAGTTGTCTGCTGTGATGTCCCCCTAATTTCTATTTTTAGTAAAGATAGGTCTCACTCTTGCTGGTCCCTTGAGCTCAAAGGATCCTCTTGCCTCAGCCTCCCAGAGTGCTAGGATTACAAGCTTGAACTACACGCCTGGCCATAATAGATTTTGTTGTTATTGTTTAAAGACAGAGTCTTATTCTTTGGCCCGAGTAGAGTGCCATGGGCATCATCATAGCTCATAGCAACAATCTTCTTGCCTCAGCCTCTTGAGTAGCTGAGACTACAGGTGCCAGCCACCACACCTGGCTAGTTTTGCTATTTTTAGTAGAGGTGGGGTCTCCCTCTTGCTCAGTCTGGTCCCAAACTCCTGAGCTCAAGCAATCCACCCTCCTCAGCCTTTGAAATTACTAGGATTACAGGTGTCAGCCACCACACCTGGTTCATAATAGGTATTTCTTTTTTACTTTCTTTCTTTCTTTCTTTTTTTTTTTTTGCGACAGAGCCTCAAGCTATCCCCCTGGGAGAGTGCTATGGCCACAATGCCAGGCTTTTTTTTTTTTTTTGGTTGCAGCGTCATTGTTGTTTGGCGGGCCAGAGCTGGTTTCAAACGCACCACCTTAGGTGTATGTGGCTGGTGCTCTAGCCACTTGAGCCACAGGCACTGAGCCCATAATAGGTATTTCTTTCTTTCTTTTTTTTTTTAAGAGACAGAGTCTCACTTTGTTGCCCTCAGTACAGTGCTGTGGCATCACAACTCACAGCTCTTGGGCTTAGGTGATTCTCTTACCTCAGTCTCCTGAGTAGCTGGGACTACAGG